CGACATTTTCACAATGTTCAGTCTTCCTATCCATTCTTCCATTTATGTAGGTCTCTTCATTTTTTGTAGTAGTGTTTTGTAGTTTTCCTTGTATAGGTCTTTTTTGTCTCTAGTAAGATATATTCCTAAGTAGTTTTTTCTTTTTGGTAGCTATTGTATATGGTATTTTCCTTTCAGAGATCTCTTTGTTGATGCAGAGGACTCCAACTGATTATTGTATGTTGATGTTGTACCCTGCTACTTTGCTGAATCTTTTAATTAGCTCCAGAGTTTTCTTGCTGAGTCTTTCTGGAAATCTCTGGTGGTGTAGTGCCTAAGGCATTTAACTGATAACCAGAAGGTTGGCAGTTCAAACCCACCAGTCACTCCTCGGAAAGAAGGTTGGGCAATCTACTTCCATAGTGATACCGCCTTGGGAACCCAAGGAGGGGTCACCATGAGTCAGATCCGACTCCACTCAATGGCAGTGAGGGTATATATATATATTTGGAAGATTATATCATCTGCAAATAGAAATAGTCTTACTTCTTCCTTACTAATTTGTATGGTTTTTATTTCCCTCTCTTGCTTTATTGCTTTGGCTTGGACTTCCAATACAATGTTGAATAGAAGTGGTGATAGAAGGAATCCTTGTCTGGTTCCCATTCACGAGGGGAGTGCTTTCAGTCTGTCTTCATTGAGAATAAGGTTGGCTGTTGGTTTTGTGTTTATTACGTTGAGGAATTTCCCTTCTATTCCTATTTTGCTGAAAGTTTTTTTTTTTTTTTAAATCAGGAATAGGTGTTGGATTTTATCAAATGTCTTTTCTGCATTGATTGATATGGTCATGTAGTTCTTTTATTTATGTGATGGATTATGTTTTTCTAATGTTGAACCATCCTGGCATACCTGGCACAAATCCTCCTTGGTCATGGTGCATTCTTCTTATTATTATTTTGATATCATGTTGGATCCTATTGGCTAGAATTTTGGTGAAGATTTTTGCGTCTATGTTCATGAGGGATATCAGTCTGTAATTGTCCTTTTTAGTGGTATCTTTGCCGGTTTTGGTACCAGGATTATGCTTGCTTCATAAAATGAATTTGGGAGAATTCCATCCTTTTCTGTGTTCTGGAATAGTTTGAGTAGGACTGTTACCACCTCTTCTCTGAATGTTTGGCAGAATTCTCTAATGAAGCCCTCTGGCCAACCCTTTTATTTGTTGGTACGTTTGTTTGTTTGTTTTTCAATGACCTGTTCAATTTCTTCTTTTGTTATGTGTTTGTTCAAAATTTCTACCCCAGTCTGTGTTAGTATAGATAAATAGTGCATGTCTAGAAATCAATGAACATGTTTTTAACTTCAAGTGTCATGGTCATAGAGTAGCCTTGTTTGATGTTGACATTCTGTGGAATTATTTCAAAAGAGTATCAAGGCCTGGCTGGTAGTACCAGGCCACTTTCTCGATGCCAGGTGTTGCTTTTCTCTAAAAACACACACATTCCTAACTTTGTCCAAACAGTTCCTGCCACTAGTATGTTCTCTATCTCTCCTATCCAAACCCGGGCGGGTAGGATGCCCGCCCTCGCGTATAAGGCTCCATGCTTTAGCCTTTGGCTTAAGTTGAAAACACAAGACCTCAAAGCACCGTTAGCCCCATGCCCTCCTGCCCATCACTTCCCCAGACCGGTCCCTAGGCGGACACACTGCAGGTTTGGGAAAGCATCAGTTAAAAGCCAGGAGCTCCAACTGCTTTGCAAAGAGAAGCTCAGATTCCACGGAGCTTGGGAGGTACTCCACACCCACGGCAAAGCTGACAGACTGGAAAAGCCCTAGTTTACGTAACAGCTAAAGGAATCACGTTCCGCTAAATCGTCTCTACCTCTAAACTACCTCTATAGACCATCCAATCGCAAAGCTGAAACAGGTTTCACTACCAATAAGAAGTCAGTAAAGGCGGGAGCCGAAGCTTTGATTGGCACCTGGTCTCCGGCAAACGTCTGGCAATGCCACGTCAGAAGAGGCTTCAACTTTAGTGACCTAGCGCTAGCGGCCATATTTACTTCTGGCAGGTCAGCTGACTTGGACTAGATGTGGACCTTCACTTGGGTGCTATCCCATTTCGAGGGGAGGGGCCAGGATTCTACTCCGTTTGGCGAACAGATAAGGCCCCTCCCCTCACATTCTTCCCAACTCTCCGAGCGCGTCCCCGCCTTCCAATAAGGGGCGGTTCCTCTCCCAGAGGCGCGCTGCCGGAACTACAAGCTTACTCTAAAGCTGTGAGCTCGTTTGGCGCGAAGTTGGCTTAGTTGAGCTACCTGTGGCCTGCCTGGTTTCCCGGTCCCTGTCTTGTTTCTCCTCAGAGTCTTCATTCCATTATCTCAGTATAGGGTCTCGTGTACCCCTTCGTCCGGAAGACGCAATGGCTCCCAGAAAACGCCCAGAAACCCAGAAGACCTCTGAAGTTATGTGCGGAAAGGGCGCGAGGAGCAGAAGTCCTCAGGAGCAGGAGGCCGAGAAGCACTTTGCGAAGGCCCCCGGTACTGTCTGTGCCTGCTGTCTTAATATTTCCACCGTTCGGGGTTCTGACACAGGAGAATGGGTGGAGGACGGGATGCGCCTGGGTTCCTGAGGCTGTCCCAAGTGTGGACCCTCGGGCTGTGCATTTTGCCAGCAGGCCCTTTGACACTTGCCAGCTTGAGACAGGAGGGCATGGGTTAACTCCCTTCAAATAAAAGAAAAAGATAGATAAATAAGCTCCATTATAAGACTAGAACTTCTCAGCTGCCTTGTTTATGCTGAGAACTGCTTAAAATAATCCCGCCTTGCCTGGTAGTGTGTGCTGTATTTTGGTAGTCACGACTTAATACACTGTCCTTGGTTTAGGTTGTGAGCCCTTAATTCTCTGAGGTTTTTTGGGGTTTGAACATGGGGTTGTAAACAAGGGGGGATTGTCTCAGAGACTGAAGTAGGGGATTCTCATGCAATTTTGTAAAAAATTGTTTTGGTCCATGAAAAAAAATAAATTGGTTTTCAAGAGACTGGGTCTCAAATGCAGTTTGGTGATTCAGAGCTGCTTTATTCCTATTCTAAGTGGCTTTCCCTCCCCGGGACGAGCCTGGTTTCCCTAGAGTTAGTCCAGAGCTTTTGGATCCTGTTGGTTTCCAGGAGGAGGAGGAGGAGAAAGCAGGCTAGAATCCCTACTCACTACTTATTTCTTGGGCTGGGTGAGGCTAAGCAGATCATGGAAATGGCATAGATTGGCTATGCTGAATGAAACAAGGCTTTCTTTCTAGATTCCAGCAGCAAGATCTTTCCAGAGTGAGATCAGAGAGGAAAATATGTGTCTGCTCTGTTTTGACAGGTTCTGGCAGGAAGTGTGACTCGGCCTGTCTTTGGGCAGGATTGGCTAACCTGCAGGTCCCGCCACCGTGCAGCAGCATTGTCAGGGTCCTCCACCAGCGTCAGCTGGGCCAAGCTACCTGCCCGACACTGCAGCAGGTGAGGTATTTCCTGGCTGAAGTGCTCCAGGGTTTGCATGGTGCATTTTTGCTCCAGAATGAGATGATGGGTTGGTTTGGCAGGTTGTCAGAGTGGTTGGATCACCCCAACCCTGGTGACTGGCCTACTGGGCACTCAGCCAGCTAGAAGTCTTAGGGTGTAAAGGTCCCAGTTGAAATGAACTCTGCCCCCTTGCTTTCCAAGAACAGTTCCCACACGTTGCAAATACTGGTTGGGAGGACGTTGGTGTTTTCAGGCATAGGGCCAAACAAGTGGTTTTCTTTGGTGGGAAGACTTAGGGATTGGCAGTGTACTCAGGACTAGGGTGTTAATTCAGCTTCTTTCTTTCTCTCTGTGTTAGAGTCTCCAGCAGTCCTTTTTGCATTCTCTGGCTTCTTACCGGATACTCCAGAAGGCCGCCCCCTTTGACAGGAGGGCCACAGCCTTGGCGTGGCACCCAACTCACCCCAGCACCCTGGCTGTGGGTTCCAAAGGGGGAGATATCTTGCTCTGGAACTTTAACACATTGGACACACCCACCTTCATTAAAGGGGTGAGCAATTCCCTATGCCAGATGGTAGTGGTAAGGAACTGTTTGTTGAAGGAATGAAAAGTCATCCAGTTACGAGGAGATGACTGGGATCAAAATGTGGGTCTTTTCAAACATGTAAATGGTGATGATGATACTCTTTATTGAATGCCTGCCCTTAAGGTATAAGAAGGTAATAATTACGGTATAAGAAGGTATAACACTCTGAAGTTAAGTTACCACTTGGAATAGAATCAAAGCCACTTCTTACCTCTTTGACCTCATCTTCTACTACTGTCTGGGGTCCCCCTATGCTTTCAAGCATATGCACTATTTCTATTCCTAAAACTGGGCCTTTGCACTTACTGTTCCTTTTGTCTGGAATGTTCTTTCCCATATCTTATGACCAGCTCCCTTTTACTATTCAGGTCTTGACTTGGTGGAACCTCTTCAAAGAGGCTTCCACTGACCGCCCTGTCTACAGTATCCTCTCCCCGCCCCCGAGTCACTTCCTGTCTTATTACCCTGCTTTTTGTTCTCCCCTCCTCTCACAGCGTTTTTCAGTATTTGAAGAGATTTACTTATTTGTTGATTCCTGTGCCTTTGGCCATGGGAAAGTAAGCTCTGTGATGGCAGCGACCTTGTCTTTCTGGTTCAACATTAGCCTCAGTGCCCAGAACAACGTTGGACCTAGAGTAGCTATATTTGTTGAGGGAATGAGGGGCTTGAAGTGTAACTGGGCGGAGGGGCTATACATATGAAAGATAACTAACAGTACAGATGCTAAATGCTACAGAATCTAAGAGAAAGAAGAACCCCTTGTGAATCAGTTGATGGAGAGGGCCTCATGGAGGAGGGAGGTGTGAGGAAGAGTAGTGTTTAGGTACATGAGGAGAAAAGTGGGGGGGGGCAGAGTTTGGCATAGCGCTTTTTAGATATAGAATATCTCAGATATTCTAGCATTGATGATCAGTTGCTGAAGGTTGAGTGTGTTGGCCTCTTTACCAGAAAAGACCTTTCGCTTGCCTAGCTGGTAGTTAACATTGGAGAGCTGTCATGTGAAAAGTGACACTCTGGATTTAGAGCAGGGGTCACAAACATATCTAAAGAAGCCAAACAGATCAGTGAAATGAATGATGTGGGATCAGTGTTAGTGAAACACTAGAGATGGTTGCCATGCGAAAATGTAGGTCCCAAAGTATATTAGTGGTTTCCAGGGATGGGAGGGAGTGGAGAAGGAGGAAGAATTATTTAGGAAGTATTGAGTTTCTTTTTGTGGTGATGGAAAATTTTACAACAGATGTTGGTGATGGTTGCATAACATGATTAATGTAATTCAAAAACCCATTGCCATCAAGTTAATTCCAACTCACAGTGACCCTATAGGACAGATTAGAACTTCTCATAGGATTTCCAAGGCTATACTCTTTATAGAAGCAAACTGCCACATTTTTCTCCTGTGTGGAAGCTGGTTCATTTGGACCCCTGACCTTTCTGTTAGTAGTCAGTCACTTAACCGCTGTGTCACCATGGCTCTTTGTTAATGTCGTTGTTGTTGTTGCTATCAGAGGCCATTGAGTGGATTCTGACTCACAGCAACCCTGTGTGCGACAATGAAACACTGCCCTGTCTGCACCAGCCTCACAGTCCTTGCTGTGCTTGAGCCCATCATTGCGGCCACTGTCGGTCCATCTCATTGAGGGTCTTCCCCTTTTTCTCTGACCCTTCACTTTATCAAGCATGAGATCCTTCTCCAAGCAATGGTCCTTTTTGACCACATGACCAAAGTAGGTGAGACAACGTTGGGCCATTCTTGCTTCTGAGGAGCATTCCAGCTACACTTCTTCAGGATCGATTTGTTCGTTCTTCTGGCAGTCCAGGGTATTTTCAGTAGTCATCGCCAACACCACAATTCAAAGGAATCAATTCTTCTTCAGTCTTCCTTATTCATTGTCAGGCTTTCACCTGCTTATTAGGCTTGGGTTAGGCGTACCTTAGTACTCAAAGTGACATCTTAATGTCTCCAAATTGTACACATGAAAAATCTTGAATCGAACCCTTTGGTGAACGCCATCTCAGGCATTTCTGTGCATATATATATACCGTTATACACACCCATCCTTCTACTTACATTGTTACATAAATATTTTATTTTACACTGTTGTTTTTTTTATGTCAGATATTCTACTTTAATCATATTATGCCAGATGGTGACTATTTAAAAATATCCTATAATTTTTTTTCTTGTAATGCTGGCCTCATAAAAGGAATTGGGAAGTGTTCCCTGCTTTTCTATTTTCTGGAAGAATTTCTGTTGAATTGGTATATTTCTCCATTAAATTTTTTATAGAATTTACTAGCAAAGCTATCTGACCTGTAGTTTTCTTTGTTGGAAGATTTTTAACTACAAATTAAATCTCTTTCATACATACAGGGATACTTGATTATCTAATTGTTCTTGAATGAACTTTGGTAGATTGTGTCTTTCAAATAATTTGTTCATTTATTTAACTTGTTGAATTTATTGGCATAAACCTGTTCCTCATTATCCTTTTATTGTCTATAGGTTCTATAGCAGTGTCCTCTTTTAAATTCCTAGTATTGGTAATTTACTTCTTTTCTCTTTTTCTCCTAATCAGTTTGCTAGAGGTTTTTTTAATTTTATTGATATTTCTTTAATCTAATCGGAGGGTGAAATTATTTGAAACTGAATTTCAGTCTTTGCAAGGAACAGTCTATTGCCAGTTAATTCTTCATTTCTAGAGTATAAAGATACTAACTAAAAGCTAGATTTTTTCCCCCAAGACCTCTTTTCCTTGATAAATGTGCACCTCAGTTTTTTTTTCTTCTTATCTCCATGAGAAGAATGCTTGGGTGGCTCAAACAAATAAGTGCTCAGCTGCTAACCAAGAGGTTGGCAGTTCGAATCCACCTAGATGCCCCTTGGGAGAGAAGTTTGGCGATCTGCTTACAAAGCTCACAACCGCTGAAGATGCTGGAGCACAGTTCTATTCTGAAACACCTGGGGTGACCATGGAGTCAAGTCCAACTCATAGTAACCCCCGTTGGGTTTCCAAGGTAGTAAATCTTTACAGAAGTAGATGACCCTATCTTTGTTCTGTGGACCAGCTGGTGGGTTTGAACTGCCAACCTTCTGGTGAGCAGTCAAATGCCTTAGGCACTGTGCCGCCCCCTTGCTGTCTTGATAGTTCTCTAATGCCTTGAAAGACTTTTCAAACTTGTCTTTGAAGATATGTATTTAATCTAACTTTCTAATTGTTTTTGACAGAAAGTTGATCTAACACAAGTTAACCCACCATCTTGGAATTAGAAATCTCACATAGATTTTGTTTTTTAAAATAATTATTTTTATTGTATTAAAAATATTTACAAGTTTGCCAATTCAACAATCTTTTCATGTATGATTCAGTCGCATTGTGTTCATCATATTGTGCAGCCATTACCGCTATTCTTTTCCCAGTTTTTTCAATATTAATAGGAACTCGTTGTTGTTGTTGTTATGTGCCGTCGAGTCGGCCCCGACTCGTAGCGACCCCTCCTTGGGTTTCCGATGCAGTATCACTACGGAAGTAGGATTGCCCAACCTTCCTTCCGAGGAGTGGCCAGTGGGTTTGAACCGCCAGCCTTCTGGTTAGCAGTCAAGTGCTTTAGCCAGTATGCTACCAGAGCTCCTAATAGGAACTCAGTGCCCCCTAAGTGATGACTCTCTTTCCCTCTCCCTCACAGCCCTGGCCATCACTCATAAGGTTTGGTCTCTATACTTTGCCTATTTCATATAAGTGGAATCATATTATTTGTCCTTTTGTGACTTATTTCACTCGACATGATGTTTTCAAGGTTTATTCACGTTGTAGCATATATCCGGACTTCATTCTCTACATGATTAACATTCCATTGTATGTGGGTATTACATTTGTCTCTCCATTCATGCACTGATGGACATTTAGATTGTTTTTTACCTTTTGGCTATTGTGAATAATGCAGCAGTAAACATTGGTGCGTAGGTTTCTATTTGCATTCCTACTTTCAGTTTTTTTGTGTATCTGCTTTCAGCTTTTTTGCATATATACTTAGGATTGGGATGGCTGGGTTATATGGTACCTCTGTATTTTCCACAGTGGCTTTAACATTTTGCATTCCCACCAGCAATGGATAAGGGTTCCAATTTCTCCACATGCTCACCCACACCTTTGTTTTCTGGTATTTTTTATTTGTTTTTGTTTTTTTCATCATAGGGTGAGGTGGTGTATCTCATTGTGGTTTTGTTTGCATCTTCCTAATAACTAATAACATTGAGTGTCTTTTTATGTGTTTGTTGCCCATTTGTATATCCTGTTTTGTGAAATGTCTGTTCAAGTCCTTTGCCCATTTTTCAAGTAGGCTGTTTGTCTTCTTTTGTTCAAATAGATGTTTAAAACCATTTTGTCCAGATATTCTAGTCCTTCTTAGTGTAAGAGTTGGTCATAACCACCTAGTCTATTACCAGAAGGACATTTTTATCTGAAATGGTCTATGTATGTGTTGATGTAGAGCCAACCTTTTCCTTGCAGTCTGGATCTACCGATTAGGGTTCACTTGGTCTCACATAAATCACACCCATAATATATTCTTTATATGGTCTAGTTTCCATTACTCTAAGGTGGAAAGATAATTTAAAGATAATTGTGAAGCAGTCTGATTGAAAATTCTTTCTAAATTCTTATTTCCCATCATATTTTCTCTCACATGCTTGATTCGACAACTATATTTAGACAATTATTCTTAACAACACATTTTTATCTAGTTTTTCCAAAGCATTCAACAAATGACTCTTCTTGCACTTACTCCATTGGTTTACATGTTTAATTAAATTACGTATTACAATAAAAGGTACAACTGGCATAAAAAAAAGTTAAGAACAAACACAACTAAGTCTTGGTAAGCATAGAACTCAGATAGTGGAAGAAGATTGTCTTACTAGCGGCAAGGACTTGGCAAGACTGGGCATTGGTTAGAATGTTTTATAGAGTGGATACAAAATGCCAGTTAGTACATTCAGTTGGTTAAACAGACGTTGTGTAAGAGACCTTGTGTGGGTCTGTGAGTCTGGGATAGCAGCAGCATAAGGAATGGCAGAGAAGGGGTTCTTAGAGATGTAAAGTTCTTAAAACAGGGACTGGCCATTAATGAGCACTTAACAGGTTTTAAGTGAGGTTATCATTACTCTTTCCATCACCATTGTGTGAGATGTCAGAACAAATAGGAAGGAGCCCCAGATCAGACACCTGTTTTCCTAACCTAGTCACTGTTCCAAGTTGAAACTTCTAAAAAGAGCACTGTGCGATCAACAAACTGTGGTACAGCCATATGGTAGAATGCTTCTCAGCAGTAAAACGGAATGAGCCATTGATACATGGAACAGAGGTATTATTCTGAGTGAAAGATGCCAGTCTCAAAGTTACATACCATATAATTTCATTTATATGATATTCTATAAAAGGCAAAACTAGTGATGGGAAACCGATCTGTGGTTGCCAGGGCTTGGGGTGGAGGGAGGGTGTGACTACAAAGGGAGAGCATGAGAGAGTTTTTTGGGGTGAAGGGCTATTCTACATCCTGTTCACAGTGATAGTTACCTGAATATACGTGTTCAGCGTCATAGAACTTTTCACCAAAAAGGGCCAATTTACTGTATGTTAACTTTAAAATAAAATATTTAAAACACTGTGGAGAGCGTCCTGGACTCTAGACATATCAGCTGGCCTGGCCTCAGGTGCTGGCAGAAGCTTTTCTGTCGGAGCAGCCTCGCTCAGGTCCTGGTCCATCATCACTCACTGGCTTTTTCTTTCCTCACGTTAGATTGGAGCTGGAGGGAGCATCACAGGGCTGAAGTTTAACCCTCTCAATACCCACCAGTTTTTTACCTCCTCAATGGAGGGAACAACTAGGCTGCAAGACTTTAAAGGCAATACTCTCCGAGTTTTTACCAGCTCAGGCACCTGCAAGTGAGTAGTTTAACCAGTAGGGGAAAGGGCTTCTAGGCCCTCCATGTAGTTCTAGTGAGAGCTTTCAGATCCCATTTCCTGTACCCAAACCTGGCACAGGGAAGAAGGGAAAGGTGTTAGCCTTAGCCTTTCCACTCTTCTGTTTCTTGAACTCTCTTTGGCTGCTCTTACTTTGGTCCACGTGGGTTACTGCTTTGGGGAGTCTCCTCTCCTCACCCCTTCTGTAAGTCACAGCTATATTGGATTAGACTTTGATTCTAACTAGACAAGTCAACGTGGCACTGGCCTAGAAAGCCACTTAGAGACTGGAGCAAGAATTAAGAATTTAAGGTTTCCTTCCCTATATTCAGCTGGGTGTGATGACCTGACCAGTTCCTTGGGGGATGCTTAAATGGATAGAATCATCTCCATAAACTACTTTGGACTCAGCAAGAGTGACAAATGCTCGTCACCGGTTTTCTAGCCAGAGACCTAATTCTAAAAGCTCCTGTGTGAGAGTGTGGGGTCTGACTAGTGTTGGCTGTTATCCTAGGCTGCCCCGCGGGGTAAGGAATATGCACTGGTGGGCTAGGTGGCTGATGGACACCTGGTTACTCATCCGCTGGACACCCTCCCTCTCATTCATAGAGGACAACAAGAGAGAGTGCAGCAGCATGGATTTGGGAGAAAATGTGAATGAGTGCTGCTGGCTGTCAGTACCCCCCTACCCCATCCCCCACCCTCAAGTAGTTCAAGGTACAAAAAAACAAGCTCAAGTTTATGGGTTATGTGTACATTTTCCCCTAAATGCTCAGAAGGGGGCAGAAGTTCCTTTGTAGCTGGGTCTGAGGAAGAGAGCTAAGCAGTCCCAGTTTGGTCAGGATTGTCGTTTCCTTTCACTGAAAGGCTGGAGAGTGAAGGGAGAGATCAGGTAACTGAACCTCCTTCAGAACCTGGGGCTGTGGAGGGTGGAGCTAGCTGAGAGACCTGCCTTATGGTTCTGAGGTTTGGCTGCTTCAGGCACTTTTACTAGCTGATCGCAGGCCCAGCAGGTACTAAACAAACTTCTGGGCTCCATCACCCCGAAACCCTTTGTCTAGATGACAGACAGATCTGTATGTCCTTCACTGGGAATCCATGGCAAGACAATTATTTATTTATTCAACAAATCTTTATTGAATGCCTGCAGTGTGTTAGACACTGGAGTTGCAACAGTGAATAAGTGGCCCTCGTCCTGGTCCCCAAGAACCTTACAGCACAATCTCCCCTCCAGCTTCTGGTTCTGCAGCCTGGACGTGTCTGCTGGAAGCCGCGTGGTGGTCACAGGAGACAACGCGGGGCAGGTGATTCTGCTGAACATGGACGGCAAGGAGGTGCATTCTCTGGCTCAGGCCCTCCCTTACCCGCACCTTTGGGGTCTGTGCGCCCACCTGAACCAGGCTCTCCTCTGCAGCTTTGGAATCTCAGACTGCACAAGAAGAAAGTGACCCATGTGGCCCTGAACCCATGCTGTGATTGGCTCCTGGCCACAGCCTCTGTAGATCAAACAGTGAAAATCTGGGACCTGCGCCAGGTTAGAGGGAAATCGAGCTTCCTCTCCTCGCTGCCTCACCAGCATCCTGTCAACGCAGGTGTGACACACCAGACCTCCTCTTCCCTGCAGACCCTGCCCATCCATCTGCTCCCAGAGTTTTCCCTCCAGGTTTCAAAGCTGCTGAGTTAGACCTTTCCCCTGGCAGCATCGGCCAAACCCATGTCTTGGCACCTTTCTGGCTCTGGCTGCCCCCATCAGCTGCTGTGCTTCTAGAGTATTTCTGTCCACAGCTCAGGTCCATCCTTTCCCTTCCACGTTGTCCAGAGAGGGCAGGCTGGAAGTTACCCTGCCAGAGAAGGCCCGTGAAGGCCAGGACTACAGGGGGCGCATGGTTCTCTCACCCCAGGGGCTTTTTGTTTTACCAGCTTGTTTCAGTTCTGATGGAGCCCGGCTCCTGACTACAGACCAGAACAGCGAGATTCGGGTTTACTCTGCCTCCCAGTGGGACTGCCCCCTGGGCTTGATCCCACACCCCCACCGCCATTTCCAGCACCTCACACCCATCAAGGTGAGTGATGGAGGCAAGAGAGCTGTGATCGTGAGGTTGGCTCTCAGGGGCAGGAGTGGGGTGGGGAGCCAATATCCTAGAGTCCCAGCTACCTTCCTGTCCTGACACAAAGCCATCTCATCTTCTGGCTCTCTGCTCCTTTTCTCCCATTTTGCTGGGTTTTCTTTGTCTCATAAGCTATTTTTCTGAGTTGTTTTTCAGCCCAGCCCTGATCTCACTATAGACATTTTCTAAGATCCTGATCCTCTGTTCTTTCCTCTCATGCTTTTAGTTACCTATATATACAGTTGACTCCACAAACTACCTTTAACCTCCTTAGTTTGTCTTGTAGGTTGAGGTGGCTTCTAATAATAGAAATAAGTTCTGTACTTTCCCATGTCTTCCTAGTTTTCTTGTATTGCTTCATGACTTCTCTGTCAAGCCCCCATGCAGTCTGAATTGTCAGTTCCTCTGCTGTAGTAGCTTCTATTATTTTCTAAACCCTGTACTTTGGTCAGTATGGCATAATGGTGAGGGCATCACCTTCAAGCAGTCAGACACTCCTGGGTTTTTGAATCCTTGTGCAAGTTACGTAACCTCTGGATCTCAGTTTCCCTGTCTATGAAAAGGGAATAATAGTGTCTGATGGAGTTGTGAGGGTGGATCAGTGTACTTAAAGCACTCAGCACCATGCCTGGCACTTGGTAAGAACTCAGTGAATGGAAGTGATTCGGTATTAGAATGACACCATGTACCTCAAATCAAATCCAAGCTCTTAATAATACCAATCAAGGATTCTTCACATTTGGTGTTCCCATTGATCCGTATGTCCTCATCTCCCATGACATCCCATTTGCTCTTGGTATCCAGCCCGGCCAACTTACAGCTTCCCATGTGTGGATTTGTTTGTGACTTATTCCCAACCCCTAGCATGTATCACTCTTCCTTCCTGCTCACATCTTTCCTCTTTCAAAACTTCGAGATGCTTTCTTAGGAAAATCCCATCCAGTTTTCTGTCATGCCGGTAAGTGCCAGATTTGTTCATATGGGACCGTCTGGGAACATAGATTTCTTCCCCTTTTACAGCCACTAGCTCTTTTATTCTCCATTCTTCATTCTTCACATCGATGGAGGGAGGGATAGTGGTGGGGTTATTCTAGAACTAGGTCCTATTTGACTTTATGACCAGATACTATTTTGCTTTGTCATAGGCTTACCATTTTGGTTCATGTCTGGGTCAGGCTGACATTAAAGATTCAGCTTATCAGTTGGTATGAGTTCAGGAAATGCAAGAGAGGTGGCCGGATGGTGTCTTGAGAGCCTTCCAGGGAAGTCAGCAATGGCAGAAGCACATGCGGCTGAAAACCCTCTTGTAGTTTCATGTGGGTCTCGTCTTCATTATTCAATTGCTGGCTGGTCTGCAGTAAAGAATACTTTTGATGTTCCTCTTGGTAATGTTCTGCATTCACTCTTGTGACCAGCCTCTCCATCTCCTAGGCAACCTGGCATCCTTGGTACAACCTCATTGTTGTGGGCCGGTACCCAGATCCTAATTTCAAAAGCAGTACTCCCCATGAATTAAGGACGATTGATGTGTTTGATGGAAGCTCAGGGAAGATGATGTGTCAGCTCTATGACCCAGAGTATTCCGGTATCGTTTCGGTGAGGCTTGGGCCCTCAAATAATGATGGGAGGAAGCAGGACTCAGCCTACCTTCATGATGAAAAATGACCAGAAACTAGCCCTGGCTGCCCTTCACTGGTTCTGCCAACACCTTCACCCCCTCCTCTTATTTTTGCAGCTCAATGAGTTCAATCCCACGGGAGACACGCTGGCCTCTGTGATGGGTGAGTGGGAGCAGAACATATCCCCTCAGACTGGCCAGGCTTGACCCTACTCCCTATGGGTCAGTGCAGGCTAACCTCATCTTATTCCTGTCACATTTACCCTTGTTGCCAGTAAACCAACTCGGAGACACTGGCCTCTGGCCTAGACATTCTGTATCTCTTGCTTTGTCTTGCTTATGGCAATGCCTGACTGCTGTGTAGTTTCCTGATATTTCTTACAAAGTCCTAGGTTCCCTGGATCAGAGGTTGATAGCAGAAGGTACAAGTCAGACTGGTTTCTCTCCTCCTAGGTTATCACATTCTCATTTGGAGCCAGGAAGAAGCTGGGATGTAGAAGCAAGAGACATTAACAAAGGTGTGTGCCAAGCAAGGGCTTGGAGCCCCAGATGGGAACAAGTCCTGTGAGAAGAGGCGGCTCCCTGCAGAAGGGCTAGAAGTACACAAGTCTTAAGGTTGGAGCCAGGATATTGTGGCATGGGGCACTGTGGGACTGGACATGGGCACATAACTCCTCTGGAAACTCCTCTTGAGTTGGTGACCTAGCTGTACCAAGGGTCCCTGCTGTATCATCTTAGAGCCAAGCTTATCCTGGAGCCAAGGTACTTTTCTTCTCTCTGATGTGCAGAGATAGGGTGATCGGGTAGTGTTTTTTTGTTTGTTCTCACTATTGACATGGCCAATAAAACCACATCCAGTTGAGAGCCTCTGAGTGGATCTTTTGGTACTGACCTGGTCAGAGGGCTCCTTGGGTCCCAGAAATGAAGAAAAGGCATAGAAAGAAACAGCGCTAAGTGTCTGCAACTTTCATTCTCTGGAAGCTATTTCACCCTATTCAGGATCATAGTCTAGAGCTATTAGGCTTACCACTTGCATTTACGTCAGGACCCTGGAGAACCCAGCTCAGCTTAGAGGGACGGTAGCTTCAGGAACCTGTATGCCAGTTCCCCTTGTCCAACCCCCACTAGATACACCCTTCAGACTTGCTCAAGCTGAAGATGTGATAAAGATGCTTAACTGTAATGATGGCTTCAGGTGGACAAAGGAAAACTTGACTGGCTAGTTGTTGGGTGATCCTGTTCCCCAGTGGCTATGTTTATTCCCCCAGTGTTATATGTCATTTTTCCCACTAAAATATGCACTGAGAAGTGAGACTGTGCCCTCTAAACCATTTGCCAGACTCCAGGTTGGCAGAGAAAGTGCAGGGCTTGATTGGGCAGGGCAAATCAAGTACCTATTCCTTCAGTTTTCTTTTGTCCCAGGTCCTGGGTGGAGCCTGAATACTTGTCTGTATCCAGGCGCTTAGGGAGTATGGAGGAGGCAGATCCTGTTTGGAGAAAGCCAGTGTCCCACACAGTACTTGGTAAACATCAGGCACATGAATGCTGAGTGACAGGTGCCAGGGACCCAGCCAAGCCCCACTTGTTCATCTAGGCTGAGGGTCATCAGAGGGAGGCCCAACCCAGAGTCTCCTGTCCATGGGCTGGGGAGCAGCAACAGTCAGAAGCAAGGGCCCAGCCCACCTCCCCTAGGAGGCAGAGGGAAGGGGGCTGAGTGGTTGTCAGGCCTGGTCCTCCCCGTCTGCGACGTGGCGGTAGCCAGGGGGCTGGGCCTGCATCCGGAAGAGGACGGTGAGGAGCAGTGCTATGAGGAGGAAGAGGATGGAGCCACACACAGCCAAGGCCACGATCACCTCTGGGCATTGGGGAGGGAGGGAGAAAGGTGATGTCAGCATTCATTCAACAGACAGGAGTGCCCACTATATGCCAGGTACATTTCTGACAATAGAGACATGAAGTTGATGAAGACAAAGTCTCTGCCTCGTGGAATTCACGTCCTAAGAGACCAGCAAGTGATAGGAGTGATCCGTTAGTGATGAATGCTATTCAAAACAAAACAAAAAAAGCAAGGCAGCTCAGTCAAGAAATGTGCCACAGAGGAGGGGGAGAAGGAAATTCAAACAGACCTGACTGAAGTCAGTGAGTGAGATGTACCATGATCTGAGGGGGGAAGAGTTCTGGGAGGCCAGGGCAGGAAGTGCAAAGGCCCTGATGTGGGACTGTGCTTGGGGTGTTCAGGATCAGTGAGAAAGGCTCACCAGAGCAGAGGAAGGGGGGGCAGGGAGATGAGGGTAGAGGGTGGGGTCAAGAGGGGTGGGAACAAACTTGGACTTTATTCCAGATGTGATGGGAAGCCACTGGAAGATTTTGAGGAGGGTGAAGACGAGCTGGCTTACGTTTTTTTAAAATTAACTCTGCTGTGCTGAGAGACTAGCAGGGACAAGACAAGTCAGAAAATACTTCAGAAGCTTTGGAAGTTCAGGGAAGAGATGATGGTAGAGTGGACTAGGGAGGCAAGAGCATGTCTTATAAAAGTGGAGCGGATAAGGCCAGAGGGTTGGATGTGGGACATGAGAAAGAGGGTATCTAAGGTAACTTCTGGGCTGTGCTATCCAGTGGGTACCTGATGTGGCATTTATATACCTGGAAGAAGACCAGATCTGGAGGGAAAGGTATTTGGTTTCAAACATAGCAACTTTGTGATGCCTTATTTGCATCCAGGCAGAGACTTGTGGTTGGTAGCTGGATACATGAGTCTGTAGCTCAGATAAGAAGTCAGGGCTGGAGATGTGAATCTGCAAGTCACAACAAAAAAGTGGAACTCAGCATGAAGGTGGAACATAAAGCCATGGGATTAGATGAGAATACCTTAGGAGTGGGCACAGAGGGGGAAAGGGTCAGGGATGAGCCCTGGGCTACCCACTGCTTAGTGGGGAGGAGAAGCCAATGAGGTAGCTGCCTGTAGGTTAGGAAGAAAACGAGGGGAAGCCAAGAAAGTGTTTAAGGGAGGGGTGACCAGTGATAAAATGCGACTGAGAGGTAAGAGGAGGTGGCTAAGGTCACTAGTCACCCTGAGACAAGAAGGGCTTCATTAGAGTGGAAGGTGACACAAGGTTGTCTAATGTGAATCTAAAAGAATAGGTGAGGAGAGAAGCCACTCTAGGCAACTCAAAGGATTTCACTCCAGAAGGGCGCAGAGGAAAGGGAACTAACTGCAGAAGGACATGAGTCAAAGGCAGTTTCCCTAAGCTACTGAGATGGGAGGGTCCAGTAGAAAGGAAAACATTGAGGTGCCTGAGGTCCTTTAGGAGGGGTGGAGAGATGGATTCAAGGTGTAAGTGGAGAGGTGCCCTTAACTAGTGGCTTATCTACTACCCCAGGAGGGGAAGCCAAGAGTGGCACACAGATACAAGTGAGCTGGCCGACCTGGTGGTGGTGGAGTGAAAGTTCTATCCTTGGTTGTATTTTCTCAGTGATGTAAGAAGTGAGGGCATCACCTGAGGGTGAAGAGCTGGGAAAAGGAGTAAAATGGTCTCAGTACCTATAACAAATACAGTAAGAAGACTGGAAGTGTGACTACTCACTCAAGATTTGTAGATGTAAATTTAAAGCTGTTCTGGGCTACAACCAGCATGGAGGCACCACCTTACCTGTGTCTGCAGGCCCGCTTGTCAGCTGACACTCCTGCTGCCAGTCCTTGGGCACAACACGCTCTGTGAGGTGAAGGAAGTCCTGCAGAGGGCAGCGGTGAGGGCAGCCAGGCAGGATCAGTGGCCAGGGGGCCTTATTACTCTCGTTCCGGAAGTACATCTCCACTGAGAAATTCCTGAAGGTTGAGAGCAGGCAGGATGGGAGATGCTCACCGTGCCCCGCACTGAGACCTGGGTCACTTGTGCGAGGGGTGATTTGCTCTCAACCACCTCCCAAGTGCCCCTCCCAAGGGGCAGACTGGTAGCTCCCTCACCCATTATCCTCCTGGTGCAGTTCAAATATGTGGCAGGAGGCGTAGGGGGCTTGCCGCCCATTGTAGACATCCAATGCCATTTGCAGAGCAATCAGGGTAGTGTCGTGCTATAAGGGAAAGGGGCTCCCCATCAGCACTGCTCCCAGGCAACCTGGAACATCAGCTCTTGTGTGACGTTAGCATGCTGGGGTGCACAGGCGCTTACCGCAGAGTAAACCAGCAGCTTAGGGAGTTGGGAGGTGGTCGCCATCAGGGTCAGGTTCTGCCGAATTTGAGCCAGGAGGACTCCTGAAGGAGAAAAGGCTTGTGTCGGTGGCTATGGCCATCACAGTCTTCTGATCTGAGCTAACCATGGTCCTCTCCTGCTCTGCAAGTCCTGGGTCCAGCCACCAACAGAGAGAACTGTGTAGGCTCCTGGGAACTACACAGGATCTCAAGCATCTCCTGCTCTCTAAGAACTTCCCAATTTACAGATGAAAGCTACATAAAGCAAGATACCCATCTATATTTCAACAGAGCTGTAGAAACCTGCCCATTTATAAATGAGCTATGAGGCCCTGCCCATGTTTGAAGAATTACTCCCAGATAGAACAAACATAAATTTAAGATTGCTTCAGGACACTCAAGATGATGGCTCTGTGCCAGGGTAACTCTGCTCAATGTGGGCTCTGGGAACTACTGAGGTCTCAGAAGGCTCTGACGGCCAGCATTCCTTGGGGTGCTCAAATCAGAAAACTGGCATGTGTGTTACCTCTGCTCTTTTCAGAGCGGCCCGCAGTGGTTCTCTGGAGGTAGGTATTTATTTAAGGAGAGGGAGGGTTTTCTGACATGGGTGAAACTTAGACTCTGGGTGGCAGAAAAGCAGTATTCAAAACTTGTATGGCCATACAGAGACAAACATGCCAAGCATTGAAAGCATTAGGATACTGGTGACAAGGGAGATGACTGAGGGACCTAATTGTGAAGGAACAAGTATTTCAGATAGAGGAATTAAAAGTGTGAGAAGCTCCCACTGGCAGACTTTTGCTGCCATTGAGTCCTGAGGAGGGGAGTGACATGCTGCTCTTGTCACTCACCCCCCTGAAGCCGGGCCTTCTCTGCCTGCTGGTAGATCCCGAAGAGGAAGCGGAAGCTGAAGTCCTTTAGCCGGCTCAGACGCTGCATGGTGTGGACTGAGGCCCAGGGCGGCAGGACCAGCTTATGTGTTTGCTGCGTACAGCAGTGGGGCGGTTAGCACCACCGGCCTAGACCAAGCCCTCCCAGGGGAGCTCCCTTCCTCAGTGGGAAGGTGCCTGTGTGTGTGAGGGGAGAGGGAGAAGAGGAGAGGTGAGGTAGACGGGCTGGAACAGCATATACAGCGCATGTTGAGGCTGCAGGGCACAGGAGAGGAAGCTCAGGCACAGAAAGTATGACTCGGCAGAATGGAGTCAAGACCATGAAGGTTCTGGGTGGAGAGGAGCAGAAATGCTGACAATTCATAAACCATTTCCCACTCTGAGGTTCTTTTTCACTCGTGAGGGAAGTTCCCTTGTTTCACAAGCAGCAGCCTGGTTAGACCTCCCCAGTGGGAATGGTAGCCAGGCACTGAGTGCTACTTGTCCTGTGACCTAGGCCAGCTGGGGTGGGAGGGCAGAGCAGTCATACTGGGGACCCTAAGCAGGCTCACCTCACAGAAGAGTGTGTCATAGACATTCCAGACGGTCTCCAGTGTCAGGTCAGTAAGCCCAGTCTCGTTGGCTACCATGTCCAGAAATTGCTGTAAGAAATGGACCAGGGGTCAGTGCTGCCCAAGGGACAGGACAGTCTGATGACCTGCACCTCAGCCCCCACTCACTGCATTCTGGATGCTCTCATTCTGATACTCTGGTGTCTGCCGGGTCTCGTTCTGCAGCTGCTCATAGCGAGGACATGGGCCCAACGGGAACTTCAGCAGCTGCAGACAAAGGGGGGAAACAGAAGCAGAGAAGGAGTGGGGGATCAGCAGGGCCATGGCCAGAGTTGTCCCCTCACCACCTCCAGGGAAGGGCTGGCCAGTCCTACCCTGTCCTCAGTGACAGGCACAGTGTGCACGGGGATAGGCTGCCATGAGATGTTTGGGTTAAAGCGCTGCATCCCATCAGGAGGGAAGAGACCCGCCAGGTTGGCCTCAGCACTCATGAGGGTACGGTCAAAGTCTGTGCTTCGCACATAAACCTGCAAGACGACAAAACCATGCGTCTCACCTCGTGGGGCAGGTGCTGGCCCCTCAGTGGAGTCACGGGGGAGGACATGGTCCTGTGGTTACCTGACAAACTGTAAACCCACTGTGCATCTGGCCCTTCCCCCTCTGGCCTTCCCAAGCCTCTACCCAGCAAAGGCCCAAACACTCAGCTGGGGGCTGTCACTAGCCTGAACTCCCATGGGAATAGCTCTAGCTCCAACACCCCTTTGTACCACCAGAGTGCTTAGTAAGGCTCTCTGGTCTGTCTGTCTGGCTTTATAAAACACTTATCTCCCTATCTGGGAGCTCTGGTAGCATAGTGCCTAAAGCACTTGACTGCTAACCAGAAGGCTGGTGGTTCAAACCCACCAGCCACTCCTCGGAAGGCAGATGGGGCAATCCTACTTCCTAGTGATACTGCCTCAGAAACCCAAGGAAGGGTTGCTATGAGTCAGATCCCACTCAAGGGCACATAACAACAACATCATCTCCCTATCTAGACCAGGGTCCTTGAGGGTGGGAACTGTCTCCAATCACTCCCCACACACCTTGTATAAACGGCTTAGAGACCAGGGAGAGGAAATAAGATAAGGAACAGTGATAGTTGCTTGTGAAAAAGCAGGAAGAAGCTGTGGGGAAGGGCAAGATCAGGGTAGGCTGGGTCTCAAGGGAACAATAATAACATCTCTATACCCTTGAGGCATCTGTGGTTGAGGGTGGTAACCAGGGGAACAGCTATTCCCATCCCTCCTGAAGAGCAGATGTGTCCAGCATACTTGCCAGTCTTTGCTGATGTACCCTGTCTATCTGGTTTATTATCTAATGCTCCTACTACAGTCTAAGGTCCACGAAGACACAGATTTTATTTGTGTGGTGCACCACTGTATACAAGGTGCTAGCATGGTGCTTGACCCTTAGTAGGTACTCCATGGATAGAAAGCCCCAAGTTATTTAAAAGAGTCAGAAACTACTTTTCCAAGCCCTTCCTAAGTCTGAGCTGGAATGCTTGATCTGATTTTCCTGTCCTAGCCAAGCAGGGGCAACTTGATCTCTAAGACTTTGTTCTAGACAGCTCTTGGAGTTCTTGTCCTGTAGTTGTAACCAAAAACTCAGGAGAGAGGCCTGAATGCCCAGCCTCATCTTGGGCTCCTGGAGAGCAGATGGTGAGGACAGCAGGGCCCATTCCCTTTGCCTCCTGAGCTCTGAGCCTTACCTCTTGCCGGTGATAAGAGGTGTTTAGAAACCCATAGTAGCGCTGCCGCAGAGCCTGGCCCAGCTCCCAGTGCTGAAGCATCCCCTCCTGTGGGCAAATCTGAGAGTTAAGAGGGTCTGAGGGCACACAATGGAATACTATGCAACGCTAAAGAATAATGTAGAATCTGCAAAACACCGCATAACGTGGATGAACTTGGAGGACCTTATGCTGAGTGAAATAAGTAAATCACAAAAGGACAAATATTGTATTAGTCCGTTATTGTAAAAGTTAAGGAAAGGTTTATCTATTGAAGGAAATTTTCTTTGTT